GTCAGCACAACACTCTCCACCATAGTCGATTCGATGACGATCACTATGGGGTGATTCAGACGAGCCTCACATGGCCTCCTCCTACACACCACTGATCGCCGCATCCCTCCACACACACAAAACCCTCGTCCACCAAACCATGGACAAGTCCTTTATTCTGCAACCACTCCTTGCCCCTCTCTCCACGCTGACGAGGCGCCGTCCCCCCAGCACCCCAGCACCACCACCACCACCACCATCGTCGATGCGCGCTGCGAGACAAACTCTCTTTTTCCCCCGCCCCGCCGGCCCTCGTTCCTGTCTCCTGTCAGCCCTTCCCGCGCCGTGTCATCACCATGTCGTCGTCTGGTGCAATGTCTCTCGCCTAATTCCCTCGATCAATAGGCTACGTTTGCGCCGCTGCTAATACTCGTCCCCCGCTCGCTTTGCATCATTGTTGGCCCGGCATCTTCCTTGTCCGTGTCCACTTTTCGTTCTTCGGTGGTTCTTTAGCACACAGTACCTGAATCATGGGACCGCGCCATCCAAGGGCCTACCTAGTCCACGCAACCCCGACACCTGCAGTCGGCCCGAAGCGCTCTAGTTGGAGCTCGCAATCAAGCCGGTCTTGGAGCTTCTCCAAAAAATCTCTTGAAATGATCCAATTTGCCAAATCAAGCAACCAAGTCGACCGGGGCCGCTGCTGCACCGCTGCGCGACTGGCTGTGGAGCCACGGGACACTACCTCCGGTAGGGCTGCATCAACGAGGCTGCTGTTGGAGGCAGTGCTGCACCCGATATTACAGATTCAACGCTCTCGCCGCCATGCTGACAGGCGCTGCTGTTACTGTTGCTGCAAGTCATGCGTGCCGATAGACATGACGAGGGAGGGGGGGCCCAAGAGTTGCATATAGTAGTGCTCCGCAGAGTCCCCGACGACTACGCGTCCCCTATAGCTTACAACCTATAGCCACTTGGCCCGTCTCCGCAAACGCTTTGCTGCATCTATCACCGCTCTTGCAACAACTGCGAGCATGGCTTCGTCGCTTGGATGCGCGCCATTTCCTCGGGGCTACTTTGCAAACTCTACCACTTCACCACCGCCCCACCCCGGCGCCGACAACACCACAAAGTATATATGCGATGCCGTTGCCAGCTCATCTCACCGGTGGAGTTGGAATGCATGCATCTCTTTTTGGTCGCTTCAACCTCTACGTGTAGCCTCATGAGCCGCATTCCTATACCGCCCACGGCTTGCCACCCTCGGCCTCCATTGGGGGGCCCTGCATTACACACCGACAGCCACCTGTCCATCGACCCACCGCCTAACCATCTCGAATACTGTACTCACTCTTCTGGTGTAGCCGACGGCTCGTGTGCCCAAAGCAGATGGCTCACGCAGCCTTGGCACACAAAGTAGTCTCTTTTTTCCCTTCGTAGCGCATTGCACCATCCCAATTGATTAGTAGCAGACCACTAAGAAACAACACCAGCACACTTGTACACGATACACGACCGCCCTTGTCAGCCTGCATCGCCCGAACCAGACAAGCTGCATGCAATCAAGTCTGGTATGCTTTTGCTTTATGCCATGTCAATCGGCAATGGTTAAACAACCCACCACCAATAGCTATCTCACCCACCTTGAAGCTGGGGCCCCCTGCATAGCGCGCTTAGCTGTATTATTAGTAGTATTATATATTACTTACGCTTATATAGCTATATAGTAGTAATCTTAAGTGCCTAAAATTAGCTAGTATATAAGTAATAAGTAAGTAGTATTGCGTAGTTAAAATAGAAATTATAGAAGTAAAAAAGTAATACTTAAAAACTAGCTATATTACCTAAGTTTTAGTATTTTATATAGCTTAAAAACTAGCTTAAAATAGGCTTTTAGCTACTTACTAAAAAAGCTTTAGCTAGCATAGTATAATAATTACGTTAGCTGACTATAATAAAGCTTTTAATTATTATTACACCTTTTACCACTTAAGTTTAGTAGTAAATTTAAGTAAAAAGGTAAGTAGTATAAAAAAATAGAGATATTATATAATAGCTAAGTAGTTAAAGTAGCT